AATATATATTTAAATATTTGTGTGTATGTATATATTCAAAATATAGTTAAATATTTAAATACATTTCCAAATATTTAAATACTGCTTATCATGTACCAAATTTTCCTGACCTCTTTAGAGGCATTGTTATTTAATTTAATCCTCACTACAACCCTCAAAGATACTATGATAATCTCCATTACTTATAAAGAGGCAATGCTTTAGTAACCTTTGAAGTTATAGGAACAGAGAGTGAGTGGGATTCAATCCCTTCCAGGTTGTCTGGCTCCAGAAGGATTGACTGCCCCTAGGTACCGGGTGATAATCATTGCATGAAGTGCACTGATTGAGTTTTTTTTTTTTAATTTATTTATACATACAAGAACTGGGGTGTAGACCAAAGGTATGTGTGTGAGGGGCAAGGGGTTGAGAGTATACCCCAGAGACAGAGTGGGGAGCAGAACAGGCAGATTGACTGAAATACACTGCTGAGGGGAGCAGTGGGCAGGTCAGGAGAGGTCTGCTGTGCCATGTGGGCAGGTCCCTCCCTGGTCAGGGAACTCATACTGCAGTGGCTGCCAATAGCTCATAGTGCTGAGCTTTATTTAATCCCTTGCACTACCAGGGAGGTGCTTGAGCTGGTTTTTGATACATGCTTTACTTGGAGGAATCTATTTCCATAGTTATTTAGGTGAATTTGAGAGAGATCAATGGCTGTGGTCTATGTCAGCCAGACACCTCTACCCACAGACTTCAAATTTCTTAAAAGAAGAAATCATCAATTTCAAAGATGTTCATATTTCCCTTTTATGTTTTACAATAATTTTTCCTTTAAAAAGCCAAACTTGCTTGAGAGGAACCATCCATCACTAGGCCAGCTAAGGTGTGGCATGCATTAGACTGTGGCCTCACTGTGTAGGAGTTATAAACGAGTTGAGCTGGGGCAAATAGAGATGAAAAGTCAGCAGGTCAAAGAGGGAGCTACTACAATTGCTCCCTCACAATGCATATATGTCCTTTGCTTGAGGTTTATCTATCATTTAATGTTAATGCACGTTGCACTTCAGATTCCCCTTAAGCATCTGACAGTGTTACAAAATGGAGCCATTTCCTTTCACATTAAATATCAAATTAGCCAGACGTTAATTCAGAAGTACAACAAAAGGAAAAAATATTAAAAACACGAATTTCGACTTGGTGATTCCATCCCGTCAACTGTCTAATGGATGGAAAGGAACCATATATTACTTTTAGTTTTTTACACAGTTATCCTATTTAATCCCACAGATTGTAAAGTGGCTGAGAAAAAAGATCACCATTTGAGGGCTAAGAGTTTCAGTTACTAAAAGGCCTCAGAGGAATAATAAACGTAGGGCTTTCAGGCTTCACATAGCACAGTACTATCTCAGAGACGGCCCAAGGCATAGATATTTTTCTAAGAAGGTATTGGCTGGCAATCGAGTGATGGTTCAATACCATGCCTCTGGAAAAAATGTGCACAAAATGGCAGAAGGGGGCAAGTTAAATTTTTCACAATTAATTGAAAACCAAACACCTGCATACACAAGCTAGAAAAATAGGATCTAGCTAAGGATGGGGATTAATTTAGCTAGCTGGAGGAAGGAGCTTCTGATCAAGGGTAGATAGACGGCGCCTAGGGTGGACCAGAACACTTTCCCTACTGAATCTGGTTGCTACTGCAGCGCTCAAGGCCTATTGGGCACAGAAGCCTTTTCCGCCCCTCTTGAGTGGAAATAGCCACAATAGGAAGACCCAGCGCTCACCTTCAGTTGCAAAGGCAAGTTCTATTGTAGGAACTATACATAGATCCGTATTACATTCTGACATTTTGTCTTTACAGGAGAGGCGGGTTGGGAGGGTTCCTTAACCCCGGACGGAGACACCTTACTCCCTAAGGAGGAAATTACAACATTGAAGTCCCCTTCTCTAGATACCCGATTTTCTCCAGGTGCACGATCCTTCATTAGCGATCCCCAGGATAGAAGGTAGCAGAGGTTCACGACCTGTACCTCCGTCCCCAGCCGCTCCAGGGTTCCAAGACTGGAGGGGGCGGTGGTGACGCAGGAGGCGGCGGGGGCTCGGGTCCAGGAGCGAAGGGAGGGGGCAGGTTGCTCCGCGCCGTGCTGCGCTGGCCAATCAGGAGGCGCGGCGTTTCGGGCGCGGAGAGGGTCGGGGTGGGCGGGGGCCACCAGTTTCCTCCGTGCCGGCGCAGCGCCGCCTGCAGTTGCGAGCCAGCGCGCAGAGTTCCCGGGGGTCTCCGGCCGTGCCGGCGGGTCCCGGCTTTCCTGCAGGGCTTCCCCGCAGGGCTTCCCCGCTTACCCTTTTCAGGTCCGCCCCTTTCCGCGACCCAGACGCGGTTCCGACCGCACCCAGCCTCCTCCTCTTCGGGCTCCTGGACTCTTCCCGCAGCGCGAGTCTTCCGGCAGCTCTTCTGGTGTCCAGGGGCCGTGCGGGGGCGTCGCCGGCGGGGGCGCCGCTCCCCGGGCCGGCGGCGGTAATGCTGCTCTGGTTGCGGCCCTTGCGACCCGGCAGGCAGCAGGAGGTGGCCGGAGCGGGAGCGGGAGCCGGAGCGGGAGCCGGAGCGCGCTCGCCGCTGGCCTGGACGCCGCCTTCGTCTGCGCTCGGCTCCCGCGGCCACC